TTGGAGCGTTGACGGGCAGTCGGCCAAGTACGGTAAATTCGCGGCAATTCAGTTTACATTACGTGTACGCGACGATACAAATTATCGAAAACGAAAAACGATTCTAATCGGTGTAGTACGAGTCGTCTTTTTTTTTTTTATCTTCCTTGTTGTCGTGGGAACCCAAAATCAACAAAAATAAAAATACCGATCTAGGGGTTGAACTGCTGGAAATGTCGATTCAAACGTCGTTTCAAATCAAATGCTACCGGGCAAAAGAAATTCCGTATTTTTTTGAAGCACAGACGGCGTGAAAAAATCGAAAAACTTTGCCTGAATAAAAAAGTATTGAAAAAAAAACAACCTTAACAAAAAAAAAAAAACAGCAATTTTTCTTTTGGAAAAAGTCTTATAGGAACGAGGAAAACCCGTTCAAATACGGACGAATAATATCTTTATGGTACGACGCGAAAAGATCGGAGCCCCGAAGCGACGTATGGTACATACATATGACACTCGAAATTTATCAGAACAGGATGGAACAGCGTCGTATAGACTATATTATGACGTTCGAAGTCGTAAATAGGGGCGGGCCGGGGGTGTATGCCCTCCCGAAACTCGACAAAGCCCATCGAGTGCGCATCGAGTATTTATGCTAAACACAAATGATCGATATTAATGCGGTTCGAAACCCCTTCCCCGACGCGGCTGGGCTGTATTAGCCCGAAAATTAAATATTTATAATAACAATATAATAAAAAAAACTATACTCAAGCGGTCGTTCGACGGGTAACAACACGTGTGCACTGTGAGTATACAAACATATTATTGCTGTCACCGCGAGGGACGTCCGTCGAATTCGTACGTAAATTCCAGGGAAATATTATTATAATATTATAATATACACACATACACATACACGTGGTCGAAACGACTCTGCGAACGCGTACGATTGAAGTCAAATATTACGTAGATCCCACTGTGTTCGTATACGTGTATAGGACCTGTACGATGGCGCGGTACATGCGGGGACATAAATTATTCCTACGGAATTATATGTACATACCGCACGTCTCGACGTAATAATAATAATATCCGTCAATTAAAACGATTATTATACGACTTCTCTCTTCCTCCCCGCCCACCATTCCGACGGAGAGGGAAACGTGAAAAAATAAAATGAATAAAACCCGTCCGATCAAAAAAATAATTTACATATCGCAATTAAATAAGGGGTAGGTAGAAAAAAACGTTTCGAGCTCTTATACATATACGAGAGTACAACATCGCGTCGTAATATTATATGATGGCTAGTTGATATAAAAATATATAACCGAACAACCTTTTTTTTTTTTTTTCACAATTTAATTATTTGTAATAAAAAAAAAAAAAAAAAACTAAATATATTCCGTGTCCCTCCTCGTGGTGTGCGTATAATAACACGATTAGTATGCGTTTCGAGTATGATGCTCGTATATATATCGCCCGGAATCAATTTTGACTAACGAACTACGATCGAAATGTGTATACAGGGTGATTTTGTTTTTTACTATCAACCAGCAATCATCTCAAAGTATTTTAAGTAAATTCGATTTCTGTTTTATCTTATCATTATGGAATCGTTTAAGCTTTATTATAGAACCATTTTTAATTTTTTACCCTTACACCATGTACCTTAAATAAGTGCATACTTTTGATTTTCCAAAAGGAACTCCCATTTTGAACACTGATTTCATTGGAGAGAATGTTTTTCTAGAAATTATAATATGCACCACACTAATATCAGATTTACCGTTTATGAGTTATAACTTGATTAGAAAAAACAGAAATCAAATTCACTTAAAATCCTCTGAGATTTGCTGGTTCGTGATAAAAAATATCACCCTGTATACCTAATATATATAAGTATACATAATTATATATTCGCTTAAATACGCACTTATACTTTTAATACAAGAGCCGTGAATCAGCGTATCGTACACGGATACAAGTTACACGCAATTTAGTGTAATACATTGTTTTTTTTTCTGCATAGACGGCGCTTCAATTTAATATTGTAAAACTAGCCTCGCCGCGGACAATATTTGAATATTTGAATATTTTAAATTAACCTATTCAGTCATATCAATTTATGTTTGTTTTATTTTTTTTCATTCAGGAGCGGCCGTAAATTAATTGAAATTCTATTTAATTTTTACTTTAAATCATTGATTTTTGTACTCAGAGGACATTATAATCCGTATCAGTCCAACTACCGCGTAACATGCAAAAATTTTAGAGTAAATGTATCTATTATGAAATTTATAGAGAAAAATATTTTGGAGGGAAATTTAAAAAACAAAACGAAAAAAAAAATGGTTTTCGTATCTATTCGTATCGATCTGTATATTTTTAACTCTATAAAAACTCTGTCATTCCCTCCAAAATAATGTTCTCTGTAAATATTTCATAATAGGTATTATTTTTTTTTCATACCAATTTTGTGTGGTGCGGTGATTTTTTTAAAAATTAAGCGCGACAAGATGTTTCTGGTAAAATTATAAATTTGATTTTACGATAACGAAGCGCGAGTCCCCTCCACCCCTGTATGCGCTAATGAACGACGAAGCTATCGGTTTAACTGTGTGTGTGTGTGTATTATTATTTTGTTATTGTACTTTTTTGACTGTAGTAAAATTGCTCAGATTTGTTCTCGGTTTAACTTAAAGGAAACAAATTTTTCACCTGTTTTTCACCTTCTTTATTTGAACGATTTTCCGTTTTTTTTTTTTTTTTACTAAACTTGACCGAATTCATATTATCCATTAACTGTCCAGTCTAGATTGCATTCCTTCGCACGGAACAATCCTTATAAAACCAACGTTGTTGTTGAAAATAATCACATTAAAAAGACATAGTAGGTCTATATTATTTTAAAATTACCATCAGATATTTTCAGCAATAATTTCTTTCTTTATTCTTTTTGACGTTTCTATTAAATTCCTCTTTAAATAATTTAATTTGTTGTAATAATAATTGTAAATTGTTAAAACATTAGTTCGGTTTTTTTGTCCCTTTCAGATTACGCGTTTTGACAGTCTTTACTTTTACCCCGTGTATACCTTTAATTCGAAGAAAATCAAAAGAACATTCTTTCGATTGTTGTCCGCGGTTATTACGGCGGCGGGGGTGGTGGCGTTGGCGGTCTGGCAATAAGAATACCGAGAAATAAAACGTTGTGTACGTCGTCTTATAATTGTTTGAAGATAATTTTGATGCTTCGGGGGACAGAGAGAGGGGGGGGGAAATAAATGTTTGATCGCATAAAGAAAAACGTTCAATTTAAAAGTGTGTACGGGATATACCTTTGTGCCTGTATACCAAAGTTTTAATGTTTCCGGTCGAATAGTTTTCCACGTTGTATACGTGTATACAGATAATGTTATGTGCGCGCGCCCCGGCGAGTAAACCGACCCGTAAACGGCGGATTAAGTATAAAACAACACAGTTTTCGAATCCTTCAAAACTCTCGCTCTAAATTCGCGGAAACGCGCGCGCGCTCCGGATCGCGTCATTAAAACCGTTTACGCGCGTTAACAACAAAAATCGTTTGTCGACCGGATCTCTACGCGATATACGCGTACACGTAGAGTAGAAGGGTCGCCTACGTTTAACTAAACCATTTTTCGTCCAATTAAATTTTCGCGAAATAATAATTATGTTCGACGATATCGCGCGAAAACGACCACTCCGTAATAACGTACCGCGGCCGCGCGCGTCGTGAGCGCCGCGCAGTTGCAGCGCGCGCCGTCGGCGTGTAGATTTGCGCGAGAGGCCCTGATTGTACCGCAGCGCGCGGTTTGTGTACGGGCGTATTTCGCGTATCGCGCAAAGTAAAGATCGAGGGAAACGTGCGAGTACGTTGCCGCGGGACTCCGTGGGCGGGCCGGGACGGGGGAACCGGCGGGGTTCGTCGCGAGAGAATTCAATTATCGCGAGTTCACAATTACACGGTTCGGACGGTCGTGTCGGCCGGGGGTGGGAGGAGGGGGGGGGGGGGGGGGGGGCGCTGCGTCCGCCGAAAAGTCCGCGTACAATAATAATAAAATCCGCGGCGCGTTCGTTTTCATATCGTTCTCCGCGCGCTCGTGTTTGCGACGAGGGCGGACGGATATCATACACCCGGTCTCTCGAACGGTCATTAATGCGATTTTTTCCTCTTTTATATTTCTCCCCCGTTTACCCTCCCCACCCCACCCCTCCCTCCATACTCGTCGCGAATCGCCGAATGCGCGCTCAGGTGGTAGGAACGTATTGCATATATATATATATATATATTTGTTTACGTATGTATATAGAAAAACGCGGACAATCGCGCGCAATCAACAAAAATTAACAACAATAATAATTAACGAACGTCGACTGTATATAATATACAACGTATATATATATATATATATACATATTGCAGTTTGACTTAATATAATAATTTAGCAAGCGGTAGCAAAAAAATAAAAAAATAAAAAAAATAAATTGTTGATCGCGACGCGTGCGTAAACGGTATCGGTTTGTTTTTTCACTGTGCGAAAAACGTCGAATATAATAACCGCGTAACGACAATACCACCACCCGTACGAACACAACGGTTATTACATTTCGGCAGAACGGGCCGGACGATTTCCGCAAGAGTGTGACGTTACCGGCTTCGCTGTTGTACGAATCGCGGTGCAGACGGGGAGCAGATCGGTCGTAGGAATGCTACCGAACGGGACGGGCAACGGCCGTAGCACGGACCAGAATGCTCGGGCGGGCGAATCGAACGACGATAGTGGATAGTGATAGGGGACGAGTCTGTTCGGAGACGGTGTAGGCGTACGAAATTCAAATCCATCGCACTCAAACCCCTACTGCGGTTTTGTCTTGAGCGTTTTTGGTCTGAATACCACTTTTTTTTTTCTTTTTTACCGACTCTAAAACCCCGTCTTTAGTGTACGGATTTCTAGTGGGTTTTCTCGGCCGTATCGCGTCTGTGGAAAACGAGAATGGAATTTTTGTCGATTGGCTCCATCGGCTCCGTCGGCGATGGAGCGAAAGGATCGCGGGAGAACGTCAGGCGGGATCCTAGGCTCCGCAAGGGTAGTGCGCACGATCCGAAGAGCCCCGGCTCGCAACCGGACGGCAAAAGCCAATCACAACCGACGGGTGGTGGGCCGCCCGGGCCAGAGGACACCGGCTGGACATCAGCGGGGCGGAGAAGAAGGCCGAGAAGGACGACTCGAGACCAACCTGTCCAGGCTGGGCGGCCTAAAGCGCAGCTGCCACGCGGTCGCGAGGAGGTGGCCGAAGCTTTGGTGAAGAGGAGGACCCTTAAGACGCAGGCTGTTACCATCTCGGAGCCCGGGGCCGGTGTCACGTACGTGGCCATAATGAAGACCGTCATGGCGAGCGTGAAGCTCAACGAAATCGGTGTTGAGGTCGGCACGGTCCGCAGAACCAGAGCGGGCGGCTTCCTCCTACAGGTGAAGACAGCGGAGGAGGCCGAAAAGCTGTCAGGACGGCTCCAAAGCGCGGTGGGCGAGATGGCGAAGATCGGCCGTCCCGTCAGAACGACTCCGGTGCTGATCGCCAACGTCCCGGACTGGATGGAGGACGGCGAGGTGGAGGACCACATCAGGGCTACGGATCTGGGCGTGGCCGGCGTATCAGTTAGAATTCGGGAGAACGTTGGGGGAGGCAAGGTGGCCCTACTTGACGTACCCATGGACGTGGCGAGCAGACTGGCGGAAGTGGGCAAGGTCAAGATCGGCTGGAGCTTGTGCCGAGTCAGGTTGCTTGAACGAAGGAAGCCACTATGCCACAGATGCCAGAAGCCGGGGCACTTCAAGGCGGAGTGTGCAGAGCCCGAAGCCGTGAAGCAGTGCTACCGGTGCAGGAGAAGTGGCCATCTAATCAAGGATTGTCCCGGCCGACCCCCTGTCGACCGACCAAGAACCAACGGCAACGCCAGTGGAGCAGGACCGGTCGCGGTCATTGAGGAGGAAGCCTCGCAATGATTCGCTTCCTTCAGTCTAATCTCAACCACTGCCGCGGCGCCCAAGACCTACCGTGCCAGGCGGTGGTTGAGAAGGCGACGGATGTCGCGAAAATCAGCGAGCCGTACGAGAGGTCCATTGCAGAGAACGCCCGCTGGACGCTGGACCGGACGGGGAGAGCTGCCCTGGGCGTGTTCAACGGTGACCTCACGGTGTGCGACGTCGAGCGGAGCGTCGGATACGTCGCGGCCAGGGTCAACGGAGTGACGGTATACAGCTGCTACGCCTCACCCAATATGCCCCTAGCCGAATTCCGGGCCCTACTCGACAGGCTTGAGTCGAGCGTACGACGGAAGGCAGGGGACGTCATCGTCGCTGGGGACTTTAATGCCAGATCAGCAGCCTGGCGCGACTCAACTACGGACCCCAGAGGAGAGGAGCTGGCGGCTTTCACGGACGGACTCGGCTTGGAGGTAGCGAACGTCGGGGACGACCGCACCTTCACGGGGAGGGGCGCCGGGTTGATAGTCGACGTCACCTTCTCGTCGCACGCGCTCCTTGGGAGGTTGGATGGATGGCGCGTCCTCCAGGAAGAAAACCTCAGTGACCACCGCTATATCGAGTTCCGGCTGTAGGACTGGAGGGGTCGCAGCACGCGCTACCCAGCAAACAGCGATGGGTGGGCAGTCGGAAACGTCGACCCCGAATGAATCGCGATGGGGCTGATGCTAGCCGAATGGACCGCACCGCTCGACGCGGAGCACCTCAGGCCAAAAGAAATCGCGGAGGAACTAGAGAGGGGAGTGACGCTGGCCTGTGACCTCGACCTCAAACCGAAGCCAAAAACAACATCGTCAAGGAGACCTGTCCCGTGGTGGAACCAGGAGATAGCGGAGGTCAGAGCCGCATGCGTGAGGTCCAGGCGAGCGTTCACCCGCGCCCGTCGGCGGGGACAAGGGGAAGCTGAAGCCGTGCTATACAAGGAGGCCAGGAAGACCCTGAACAGCGCCATCAGGAGGCATAAGAAAAAGTGCTGGGCGGATCTGGTGAAGTCCGTGGACGGTGACCCCTGGGGCAAGCCCTACAAAATAGTCATGAGGAGATTGCAGGGCCCCCCAGCGCCCAATAGGATGGAGCCGGACACGCTGTCCGAAGTGGTAGACGGTCTCTTCCCGGAGCACCCGCCGCTGATCAGGGGCAATCCTTTCGGAGACGTGGAGGTCCAGAATTTCAGCGCGGAGGAAGTGACCGCCGTCGTCAACAAGTTCAAGGCGAGAAACAAGGCGCCAGGCCCGGACAATTATTGTCCGAAAAATGGCGCCAGGCCATTTTATCAAACCGTATAAAACTGGTTGTTTTGTTAGCGAAATGGGATTCGGCAAAATGGGACTACACGACTCGTACGCGTCCTTTTCCCCCAGGTACCCCTTATTTATGATGTTGTCCGACTACTTTTGCTTGAGGCGCAGTTCACTATTAGACCCGCATCAGTCTATATTATACTAGTATTAAATTCTACTAATATAAAATATTATTCTCTTGCATTTGGTGGGTAGGTGCTCTATACAGAAAAATACCCAATAAAAATGTATTTCACGAGTACACGCAATCGGAAGTATTTTAATAATAATAATGAAAAAACTGTTATTTTTAAACTTCGTAATGTATTTACCGATTTAACGCGACAGAAAATGCATCACATCTTTATGCGATGTACGGTGAACTGCAGTAAATGAAAAGTTTAATAGGTATTCGATTTGTTACGTTATCTTTTACGCGTTGCTTTTTTTTTTTATATATATATTTCCATTAGTATTTATTATTATTATTTTTTTTTTACTTTTACGACGGTTATATCGATAATTCTCGTACGGGTTATTCACAGGTAGGTAAGTACACGAGATATTCCGGAAATGATTTCGCATTACGAATAATATATAAAAAAAAAAATACGGAGTTGTTCGAAAACGTGCGTTTCGGTGTAGGTACACGCATTAGCTCTCTTATATTACTGCAGAAGTACATTAACTTTTCGCAAAGAAAATAATATACCGATTGAAATATTATATAGAAATAAATCCACTTTAAAAAATTACTTTTTGAAAAAATAAACTAACAAAAGTCGCTCACGTGCAAGTCGGGTGAACGAAAAGTTAGATACCTACCAGAGTGTGTGTGTATGTGTGTGCGAGTGTGTTGCTTACGGGTTTTACGCATTAAATATTCGTACACCGCCGCTGCTTATATAAATAAACTGCAGTAAACCGATACCCGCCCCGAGAGAAGTTTTCGAGTTTTATAAACACCTTCCGAAGTTAATTTACTTGAACGCCTCGTATACACTTACCTATATATATATATATATATATTCTTATACACTTACTTAATAATATATAATATATCGCATAACACGCGATGAATTTAATCGAGAGAAATAATTTCAAACCGAAAATTCAATTGACAATATCAAACAAAAAAAAAAAAAACCCGATCGAATTACTCGTATACGTACCTACCCGTATATTATATATAAGTGTAGAGTTTCGAATCGATCCAAGTGCAGCTACGCAGAGCTATAGCCGACGTATACCTTCTAATATTACTAAGTACGACTTTTTGCGAGCACATAGGGTATTTTGTCAAATTACATTTATACACTTACTTATTGTACACAGTAAACATTGTATTATTCCGCAGTATTCCTCGTTATTGATGGTGTGTCTGTTAGTAGTTTATTTAATCTTATTTCTGTGCATGTGTACATACATTTATAGGCAAGCAGGGCTAGCACAGGCCATTCGAGACACGCTGAATTCGTTGTTTCCGTTTGACTGTATAGCGTATACAATTTAAAATATCAGGCCGTCAATGAGTGAGAAAGGGGGGGGGGGAAACAAAACTATTTCGTTACTACTATAGCGTAGTCGTACCATCGTCATACACTACAGGTTATAACGGTCATCGAAATGTTTCGAATGGATAGCGTTAAATCCAAATGCTGTATATACTTAAATGCCTATGGTAGTGACAATGTTTTTATTTTATGCACGCGTTTTAATGAAACCAAACGTTTATAAACCAAAGTTTTATATTTTTATTGTTACAGTCGAAACAATTATTAAACTGAATTATAAATTATACGTTTAAACGGTTGAAGATCAACTGACAATAATATTTACTGTACGTCATTCGCAATGGTCTACGGATGAAAGTTGATTGCGACGGCCAATGCATTTTCTTGACTGATGTGCATTTACACGATTTCGAGAACTGATTGCACAGAGAAACAAAACTTTTTCGTATTTTTTTTTTTCGAAAAAACAACGTACAGTCCTCGAAAATATCATCTTTACGTTGGGTTATTCGAAACTCCAATTTCAACCTAATCGCCATCAAGAAAAATGATTACTTACCGACTGATAGATCTGGTCTTTTATACTACAATGTAAGATGATCATTTTTATTATTTTCTTTGCTTGCGTTGTACACGGGTCATTTTCGGAACTTTCGAAAAATATAATAAAAATACAAAATATCGTCCGAAATCGTTATTGGTATTTACACGACGACGATCGTTTCACGCCGTCGTGAAGCTTTTAGGATTTTATACGCGTACACACTACATTTATAATACTATTATATACTACGGCAGTGTGTCCTCATCAATCGTTTACAAATCGTCAGTTTATCTGAGCTCAATGGCGTTGCTCTGTACGAGCATCATCGTCGTCGTTGTCGAGACGTTTTTTGGTCGTGTTGGATTAGATTGGAAATAACCATCATCGCGTGTCCCGGCATAATATGGCGATATCTGTATTTTTCCGACATCGTCGTTGTCCGGTCCGAAATAAAAAGAAAAATGAGTGAAAATACGGATTCTATGTAATGCGATTCCGTTTTTCCCGAGGACCGTCGCTACGTTATTTTTACGAAAAATTATCTCTGCGTAATACTGCAATTCGTATTGTTGTGTAATATAAGTCTTACTATTGCGTGCAATACGTCCCCTTGTAAATGCTTTTAGTCGCAAAATATGTTCGTGGAACTCGGTGTAATCTTTAAAAAAATATATTGACTAAAAAAAAAAAAAAGGCTTTCTATAAAATTATGTAATAAATGTCAATTTTAATGCAACATTTCTTAATAAATTATAAAACACTGGTGGATCAGAGACTGCCTCTAAAGAAAAAAAGAAAAAAACACTTATCATAGTATAACCAATTCATTCCTCGTTTGCTGAGAATCTTAAAATGCGCTGCAGTTCGTGGGTCGCTTATTTGACCATTAAGTTCATCTTTAATTAAATTTACCTGGAAATTTTTTATTTATTCGGGGTGTTTCATATTTATTGTTTTCAGGATAATCTGAAAAATCAAATTTATTTAAAAGTTGTTTATTGTTTTTCTATATCTGTATACAAATCATCAGTTGTAATTTCTACTATTAAAGAATTTGTAATTGTCTATAATAGTCTTATATTTAAAGGTATATAAAAAAAGTATACATTATAATAAAAATCATACACTATAAAACGCTATACCAAGTCGAAGAAACCAAAACACCCAACTAAAAACAATAATATTCCGAAATAATGAATGATAATTTTATAATGCATGGTTAATGAAGAAAGACGTTTAGAAGTAGAAAATATAGCCCGTATACTTAAAAAAGAATAAAAATTAAAAAATAAATTTCAATTATCGGTGTCTGATTTTAAAACGTTTACCTATAGTACATATAGGAATTTCTTCTATAAAATTCTACGTAAAATGTGGTTAGATGCCTTTGTCGTGCACTACGGTCTACACCGGTGTTACTTGAGTGCGTCCCGAAATTATTCATTCGTCTAAATTCGTCGTGATTCCGCTGTCGAGAAACACAAATCTATACCTCAGTTCGCCGCGCATTAAAAGTAAAAATTACCTAACTGTTTATTTATTCATTTTTGCGGGGTAACGAAAAATAACATATTTAGTTTTTGAAACACGCCGGGCTCTTATTATGGGCCAGGCCACCGGGTTTTTGACCGGCATGCAGCTCCGCCCATTTGTTTTTATTATCACTCTAGACGGGTGCGATATATTTTATTTTTATACGTCATACAGCCGAAGTATTATAGACTCACGCTGCAATAATCATTTTAATATATCGGAAAACGCGCCGACCATATATAATATATATATAGTACTTGGATTTACGTCATTGTTAAAGTCGCGCGTACAATATATATATATATACAGGTTGGTAGTGGTGGTAGTAGTGACAAGAGGAGAGAAAGATACTGGATAAAAGAAGTGCGAAATTCCGCCGATTGCATTCTCCGAGTTGTAATCTCGCCTTGTGGGCAGGGACCTCGTACGGGTTAGGTGAACGTGTGCGTGATTGAGATGAGATATTTATGTGTGTGTGTGTGTGTGTGTAAGACGACTTTGTCAGTTTTCAGAGAGACGAGACCGAACGGGGGCTTAGCACCGGCACATACGCGGCCGGCGGTGGTTGGGGGGGGGGAATGATTTTGTTGCTTCGTGACGGAATTCACAATGTTTATTGCGGACCCGAAGGGGTTATGCTGCGCCGCTGCTGACGCTGTCGCTGCGGAGGCGGCAGAGCATCGCGCGTGCAGAGGTCGGCGGCGAAAAAATATCGATTCGTCCGGCGATGAGACGGTCCGCGTACCATCGTCTCGCGTTATCGCGTACAAGTGTGCAGTGTTGTGTGCGTGTGTGTGCTTGTGTGTGTGTGTGTGTGTGTGTGTGTATACTCGCATACGGTACATAATAGTATTATTTTCGTCTTGGTCGATATAAAATATCACATATACACGATACGCATTTTGTCGCGTACACTGTCGGACGGACAAGCGTTTCGGCGCCCGAGTCTAACGACTGCGGCGGCGGCTCTGGGAACGTACGCGTATCCGCCGTGCATTTGCGCGGCGCGCGGTCCTCGCAAAGTCTGGCGGAGCGGCGCCGCCGCCGCCGCCGGCGCGCGCGGGTCAATCAGACGGCCATTGACGACGGCGACCGCGTACGAAACTTAATAATATGATTGTGTGCGCACCTCGTGTATTATGTTATTTTGTCCGTCGGTCGGTCGGGGCCCCGCCGTCCCCGCCCTCGTAGAACCGCACGGGCGGCCCGTATAACGCGCGCCGTGCCCTTAACGATCCGCGTTTCGGGGGCGAGAGAGATTTCGGCCGTTCGACCTCCCCCCCCCCTGTCGACCTCGCGCACGGTGTCCCGACAACGGACCGAAAACGAGATGAGCGAGCGCAAACGCGCCGGGGCGAAAGAGCGAAAACGGAATGAGCGTACACGGTTGCGAACGAAAACGCATTGTGCACTGC